GGGGGGGGAGGTGTCTGCTCTGGTTTCTATGCTGCGAAAACAAATGTGATGTTTCACATTTGGTAATTGACAGAGCACAGCACCCCAGTCCCCCGCATGCCGACGGGAATATACGTTATTCGTGGTCAGCTTATTAACGGGCCATCAGGTTTAATTCGGTGCTGCGTGTTTCACTACGAAGATGTAACGGGGCTTTATACCAGAATTTAACAGTGTGAAAGACGGAGCGGAAAAAAGGGGCTGTGAAGATGGGCCGCTGACGGGAAGGCGCGGGGTGTGACGGGAAGGCGCGGGGTGTGATTCCAGGAAAGCGACGAACACGAGGTCGTGACAAGCGGGCGTGTTTCGAGGAAGGCCAGTCACAAGTACATCTGTGTTTTGAAAATAATATACTTAACAAGATCCCACCAGTGATGGTAACGCTTCATGGTCATTGGTAGCTTGTTTCTGTATCTGACTATATTATAGTCTGAATGTTATATCAAAGCAGTTTTAAATAAGTGATATGATTACATTTACGCTTTGAATACATCCATTTATTGAGTTCTTCTTTAATAAGAATTTGCAAATAGTTTTTTTATGCACAAAGGAATACGGTATTGTGCTGTGAAATGTTTATTTGCTTATTAGTATTGCAGTGCTCTGTAAGGAACGCGTTGATTTCCTCTTTGCTCAGTGAAAGCTGGCTGCTCTTTTCTCCCCTGCCGAGCGTCTGCTGTCCCCTTTGCAGTGTCGGCTTCATACCGAGCAGATGCTGGAGGTGAGAAGGCTGTGTCCATCATCTCCGATTTAGTTGATTAGCGGCCATTATTGCTTCTGCCTTCGCCTTTTTGGTTTATATGCATACTGTAAATACGTCGGCACATCTTAGTTACGCTTTCTTTTTCTTTACTCTTTTGGACAGGATGGGTTTAATGCAGACTTTTACAGACATTTTCAGTCAGTGATGATGGTGCATCTCTGTCCCCCACGGGACTCCAGACACGTGATGCGATCGTGACGGTGGCATTTGATGGGAGGCGCGCAGGAATGGCCCTGCCCTTTGTTGCGGGCCATGCGGTGTGATTGTTGCAGCTGTCTTTGGTCTGTCTTATCTAGGCGGGCGATGGATTTGCAGATGTTATCCCTGCCACGATCTCTGTAGATAGTGTACCTTGCTTTGTTTCCCGTATTGACACCAGAGGTCAGGTGCCTGCTCTGTCTCCCCCTTTATCTGCGTGACGACCACCTTCGTATCCGACTTGACCCACCCCGGCCCACCCCACCCCCCACAGAAAAGGTGCTGCGTGGCCTGCTTATAGGATATCTCTGGCCGTTCGTTAGCCTCTCACCTAGCCCCGCCTCTTTCCCTGTGATGCTGCCCCCAGAGGTCAGCCATCGGATTGGTAGAGGCTGTATCATATCTCCGAGTCCCACAGTGGCCGACCGCTCGCAGGGAGCGCGTGCAGAGAAGGCTGGCCGACGCCAGTGTGGCCACCACACGCAAGCGGTGCAATAGATCATTTAAACCGCGATCTAAACAAGCCAGCAGGCTGTGGGAAACGTGCTCAATAGGTTGCCGGTTTGACTGATGTTCCCCTCTGATGAATTACCGTCTTTTTCTTCTTCTTCTTCCCCTCGAAGGGGATGATGATGAAATGCTTCTCGTCAAAGGTGTAATGTGATCGGTGTGCTGAACCGCCGGCCCGGCTAATGCTCACTCCCATCTCGCTCCCCTCCTCCCCCCAGCTCTCATAGCCATCGGCCAGTACAGCAACACCATTGAGACGGTGGACGCCGGCTGGTGCAAGGAGATCACCGACCAGGGGGCCACACAGATCGCCCAGAGCAGCAAATCCCTGCGGTACCTGGGTCTGATGAGGTGCGATAAGGTAAGGGTCCCGATTCCTCTGCCCCGGCAGCAATGCTGTTGATCCCAGGACAACCAGCGGGCGCCAGGAGGGACCTGTCCGCAGAGGCTGATTGACGTGGGCTGCTGTCATGATTCAACCAGCCACTTGTGCCGGTCAAGTATACCAGACACCCTAAGTCCCCCCTCTTTCTGCCCGGCTGGCCCTGTGGTTGGTGCCCCCGGTGGGGGCTCGTCCCGGTTCACGGAGGGCAGTGGACAGCATCCTGACCTCTAGAGGCAGGACTGCTCTCTGGACTCAGGAATCCATCATGCTGGCCGTACAGAACTGGGTCTCGCCTGCTCTCTGAACCGGGCCAGACGGGAGTCCTGGCTCCCTCTCCGTCTCTCACACTCACTCATGCAGCCACATTAACGGCCTTATCACCCTCACACTTATTGAGCTCTTATGCCGAGCCCTGTCACACTTAATGACCTTCAGATGAATAAAACAAAGCAGGCATGTGAGGTTACTGTAATTTTGAGCTCAGTCTGAGCATGATTCTGATTCATCCGCTGCTCTTGCCGCCGTACTGAAGCGCCCGGGGCAGCGCTGCTCCTTCAGCAGCTACTCTCAGTTTAGATACTCGTGTTTTTCTTATCGCGAGTGGCATTTAGCAACCAGGAGGAGATCTGCGATGTGGAAGCGCATGTGGGGGGGGGAGGTCATTGTCCCGTGTTCAGTCAAAACGAGCAAAAGCAAGACTTAACGAGAAGATGTTTTTCAGAGCGTTTTTTTTTTTGCCCTTTCTGGCTGCTGCTGTACTGGCAGGTATCTCTGAGGGGCCCGGTACACAGCAGAATGAATCTCTGAGGGGCCCGGTACACAGCAGAATGAATATCTGAGGGGCCCGGTACGCAGCAGAATGAATCTCTGAGGGGTCCGGTACGCAGCAGAATGAATCTCTGAGGGGCCCGGTACGCAGCAGAATGAATATCTGAGGGGCCCGGTACGCAGCAGAATGAATCTCTGAGGGGCCCGGTACGCAGCAGAATGAATATCTGAGGGGCCCGGTACGCAGCAGAATGAATCTCTGAGGGGCCCGGTACGCAGCAGAATGA